TTTCCGCCGCCATCTCAATTTCTCCTTTCTTTTCCGCCCCTTAGCCCCGCCTCATTTCCCTTTAGACCCCAGCTCCTTTCTTTGCTTTCTGTCTCGAGCGAGGTTGATGCTCTGTTATCGCTGTTTGGGCACACTGCGATGAGTAATTTAGCGAACCGGTAACACTAAATAATTTTTGAATTGAAAGAGCCAAAAAATATACAAGGTCAAGTAAAAATATGATTTGTTTATGATCAAATAATGTTGACTTTTAATAAGTTTATGGTAATATAATTCATAATATTGGAAGGAAATTTTTGTTTAATTTTTAAAATGTATTTATTATTTACAGTAAAAAACTATTATTTTTCAACTTTAATGTATACAGATTGCAATCTTTTTTCTCGCAGTGCCTGAAAGGCAGGAAAAGCTGCTGGGATTGAAGGACGCGGGAAGGTTGGGCTTTATACGCCTCCTTTTTTGGCAAATGTCGCGAGTCGCGAGGCGTCGCTAACGTGGACATGGACATGAGCAATGTGCAATGGCGATAAGGAGGAATTCTCGCAGCGGACATGGCCAGCATGCCCGTTCCCGATCCCCATTCCGATCCGATTCGAGTGGCTCCCCCTCTCCCCTCCGCCCACCCCCTTTTTCGGGGGCATAATTGGCCAGTCAGTCACCCCGCGTCACCCCGCCCATGGCCACTCCACAATCAATTGAAGCGTAATGGCAACAGTTCAATAACTTTTGGCCATCCTCCATGGGATTCCATTGCAGACTGAAGATGATGGCCTCCACACCGATGACGATGCTTCAATTATCTATTATGGATCTAATGAGTTGTCATGTTCGGATATTACGGGAATTGATTCGAATCCCACTGCCTTGTTAGTGGCAGACGATAAAAATAGTTCAAGTTTAACGGATTTTTTATGTTTGCCATTTTTTAGTGACTTTATAACTCGAGCTCAATTGGTTTTCAGTTTGCTCGTTAAACTGCTTCTGCAAGTAATAAGTTCATGTTATTAACTTCATTTTTGTTTTCATTTTATATGTTTTGCTTGATGGAAAATATTCAACTATTAATATATAATAATATAGTGAATATTTTGAGCTTGATGTGGGACTATCTTATTTTAAGAGCATTTTGGCGTTCTTATTTTTGGCCAAATCCTTGAGAAATGTCCACAGCATTAATCAAAAGCTCGACGAACTTAAAGGCAATGACTAATATTTTTGGCTATCAGCAGCGCCAAATGGCCAACGCTCGCTGCCCGTGGGAAACCCCCCGTAGACCATATCCACAAGTCCCCCTCCCCGCCCCCCTTTTGCCCACATCTATGTGCATATTTAAGGCGGCTACACAGACATACTTCATACATATACATACATACATGCAATTGGTGGAGAACATGGTTTACCTGGCTTCGGGTTTTTGGAGTCGCATGCCGGGCAATCGGAGGGTCCTGGCAAAAGTGGAGAGGGGAAAGGGGGTTCCAAGGATTGATGCTGCTGGTTTTGGCTTTCGGTGGTTCGCTATCATTGCACAAGTGCGCAAAATTTTGGACTCAATTCACGTGCTCGGCTGCCAAAATTGTTGCCTGGCCTCCGTACCGCCCAGCCCACCTATAACTTCTCTTTCCCTTTGCCCCGCCACCTCTCTTCCTCTCCCTTTGCCCCGCCACCTCTCTTCCATCTCTCTCTTTCCCCGCTGGTACCGCCTTTCGCTCCATAAATTTGCACATTGATCGCCCTGTGGCGCTGCCTCTATATGTCTGTCTGTATGTATTTAATTCGATAACAGCGCCAACGGTAAAGGGAGTTGTTCGAAAGATTTTTACCCAACTCAGCGCAACTCCGCTCGTCCCCCCTTCCGCCCACTTTTCCACCCATTTTCCCCCGCCCCCGCCCACAAGCACTGCACTCTCAAGTGCAGTGAAATAGTTGTGAAACACTTTGCCAAAGATGAAAGATAAATTCAAAAAAGCAAATGGCAGCGCAAAGGCAACGATTCAGACCCAAATCATTTTTGCATAACTTTAAAAAAATTTAATCAAAAAATTCAAGAGAAGGTAGGTACACTGACAAAATTATAATAAATAACTACGAAGGCTTAAATTTTTTTTCATTTCATGTTTTTTATTGTGATTTTAACCATATTTTTGCAATTAAAAATTGGATGATTGAACAAGAGCAGGTAAATTCTCTAAGAGGACGAACGAAAGCCGTGAATAATTTAAATGTCTAGACCTCATCCCGCTCCCCGCAACCCCCTTTACCAACCATCGTTGACCGCAGAGAGGAATACGGGAAAAGGGTAAAAGAAAATGTGAAAAGAAGGAAGAAATAAAGATAAGTTCAACTCCCCGAAGCGTCTATACACTTGCCGAATTTAAAGTTCATTGTTTGGTTAAATCACTTTGCGTGTATATAATGTATGTACACATACATAACTAAGAGCATTACAAAATCCACACAAACTAAGAGAAACGAGTTAAGAAGTTGAAGGTCAAACAGTCTGATCATAAGATCGTCACACATCAGAAAATGAGAGAAAGAAAGAGGAGCAGAAAGCGCAAAGAGAGGATCAACAGTAAGATAAGAAGAAAGGAAAAGAAAAGCGTCGCTCTCTCATTCCAAATGGCTCTAGTTTGACGCTCTTGGTCGTACTCACTCTCCTGTCGTTTTAGTCTTTTCAAGTGCATTGGTTAACGGACGCGGTTGTACTGCGCAGCAAATTAATAGTGTACATTTAAGTGTTTAGTGTTTCCGGTTAAAAAAGTGTCGAAGAGTTGTCAAAATTGTTTATAACAAGTGATATTCTTCTAATCTTCTTACAATCAATAATTAGAGTTTAATTTACAGAAATTTTCCGTCAACCAAGGGGTGCTCCAAAATTGTGCTACCAGCACCCACACACATTGGCTCATCAGTGCGAAAATATGTGTGTGTATTTGTGCAAGCGCCGTTAATTTTGGGTTTTGTTTTACTGATGCTTTAATTTGAATGCCTTTTGCTCAATATGTATCAGAAGAAATGAATTGCAACCAACCTTAAAAAAGATCATGGGTAAGTAGAAGCTATTTCTGTTTAGATTATTTATTAATAAAGACAATAAGTGTTTCTGGTTATAAAAGTGTCGAAGAGTAGTCAAAATGGTTCATAAAAAGTGATATTATTCTTATCCTCTTACAGCCAATAAATAGAGTTTAAACTACAGAAGCTTTTCGTCAACCAAAGGGTGCTCCAAAAATTGTGTGGTTAAAAAAGTGTCGAAGAGTTTTCAAAATTATTACAACCAATAATTAGAGTTTCATTTACAGAAATTTTCCGTCAACCAAGGGCTGCTCTAAAATTGTGCTACCAGCACCCGCACACATTGGCTCATCCGTGCGAAAATATGTGTGTGTATTTGTGCAAGCGCCGTTAATTTTGGGTTTCTGTTTTACTGATGCTTTGATTTAAATGCCTTTTGCTGAATGTGAATCACAAGAAATTAATAACAACCAACTTAAAAAAAACATGGGTAAGTGAAAGCTATTTCTATTTTAGATTATTTACGAATGAAGACATTAAGTAAAAGAAATTTTTTTTATAAAACCTTGTCCCAAAAGTTTGACCCTTTAAATCTTTGCATACTTTTGACCAAAATCATAGTACCTTACGCCAATACCCTTTATAAAAAGAAAATACCTCAAGCATCCGGCCTGCCACTGTCAATAATTAAGTGCGAACCTTGATATAAACTTTACGCCAACTCCGCGGACGGTCGGCACTTCTTTCGTCTCTTTTGCTGTTCCTGCACTGAACAAAATTTGGAAAGTTTTTACATCTTCAAATTAGGAATGATGTGGAACATATACCTTGTTAGCAAATTACTGCCCATTTTAAAAAATTCGATGTTATTATTTTTTAATATTTTTTTTTAGGATTTACAAAAACGTAAGAAAAGCTCTACATATTGAATAATTAATTTAATTAAGGGGTTGTTTTTTGTGCAGGATACTTCTTTGCAATTTGATGTTCGAAATCAGTTCAAATTTTTTTCTCTGCTCTTCTGATTGGTTCTTTTCTGTCAGTCTGTCTGCGTTTATCCTTTCGAAGGCTCTTCTCTTTTTGCATTCGCTCCGTTCATTCGTTTTGATTAAATTAAAAAGTTACCACAGTCTCAGACGCCCACAAACAAACAAACAAACGAGCATACGAATGCAAACAAATAAGTGAGAGAGAATTCCTTGTTCTTCCTGTTGCTGTCACGTCCTCTAATTGTGTCTTCAGCCGTCAACTGTTGCCGTCCCTTTCTGCCGACCACCACACTTTTCTTTTGCACAGACAACAATGCAGCTTTGGATGAGCTAATAGATTAATAATAAGTCGTTTCACAGTCCGTTAACGTTATTGTTCTTGAGCCACCGTTTCTCTCATTGTTCGGCAAGTGTATTCTTTATCTCTCTCTTACCTTTAAACTCTTCTAATTGCTGTGGATTTGTTATTGGATCTGGTTAACAAAATTAAATTTGGAAATCGCAGTTCTCTCTGTAAAGATTTTAACCCCGCAAAGTATGCAAGTTGCTGGTTAAAAAACAATATTTTTTTTGTTGGTAAGGTCAAACTGCTGAATGAATTTCCCATAAATATTTGTTCATAAATTGCTTGTCAGCTAGTAGTAATCGGTAAATCTCCTCGATAGTTGGCCGTTTCGATAAGATTAGTTTCCTTATGAGATCTCAAAATAATTCGCATTGAGCGATAAGATATTACAGGCTAAATGATTTTTTCTACTTTAAGTTTTAATTCGAGATGTGTTTACAAGTTACAACAAAAAAAGCAACTAACAATTTCTGTGAAAAAAGTTATACATAAAATAATAATTATCAAATGAACCACATTTTAAGAAAAAACGTTTAAAATATCTCTAGTCACATAAAAGTCAAGTTTAGATAGTGCGCTGTTATAAATTAAGTGGAATCATCGCCTCTATATAAAGACCTACAAATTGTTGGGCTTTGTCCATTTGGAAAATGAGAGCCGCTGAAGTTGTTGCTTTTGGAACCCTGTTCGCCAGCTGTTTGCTGCTACTGGCATTGCCTGTACAGTCGGCACCCGGTGAGTTGAACGGGCGTGTGGTGGGCGGTGTGGATGCCGCGAAGGCGCAGTTTCCCCACCAAATTTCCCTGAGGAACGCTGGTTCCCACAGTTGCGGAGGATCCATCTTGACAAGGAATTACATTCTGACCGCCGCTCATTGTGTGTCCAACGAGGATGAGAACCATGTGATAACTCCTATTGCCGCCGAGCGTTTTACCATTCGAGCGGGCTCCAACGATCGATTCAGTGGCGGAGTCCTGATCCAGGTGGCCGAAGTGATTGTCCATGAGGAGTACGGAAATTTCCTGAACGATGTGGCCCTACTGCGACTGGAAACCCCGTTGATCTTTTCGGACGCTATTAAGCCGATCGCCTTGCCCAACGCTGATACGCCAGCCGATGTGGATGTCATCATTTCCGGTTGGGGAAGGATCAAGCACCAGGGAGATTTGCCGCGGTATCTGCAGTACAACACCTTGAAGTCGATATCTTTGGACAGGTGCGACGACCTGATCGGCTGGGGGGTCCAGAGTGAACTGTGCCTGATTCACGAGGCCAACAATGGTGCCTGCAATGGTGATTCAGGAGGTCCCGCCATTTACAACGACCAGCTGGTGGGCGTGGCAGGATTCGTATGGTCCGCCTGTGGCACCAGCTACCCGGACGGATATGCCAGAGTGCACTACCACAATGACTGGATTAGGAAGAACACTGATCTCTAAATTTGTCATTTTTTTTTTTTTTAAATATATTAACCATAAAACAGTTAAATATGAATGTTTTTCTTTCCATTTTCTTAATGCGGGACTTAAAAAACATTTGGACAATTTTTGGTTTAATTTTAAGAGGGGATCCTTTCCATAATTTTAAGTCAATTTTTAAAAATTGTTTACTAAACTGTCATAAAATGGTAATAAACCACTTTATTTCTTAATGAATTGTTTGTTTTACGTGTTTCTTGGTGTTTAACCAAGTTTAAAGTTTTCTTCTTTTTATGGGAAATTGATTTTCTGAAATATTTCTTGTCACTGAAATAAAATGCGTACAAGGTTTTTCCAATTTCCAAAGAAAGCAAACTTGTTTTAAAATCTATTTTTGACCAACTTTCAACAACAAAATATTACTTTGAAATTAAATTATTGAAACGTTTCTCAGCTATATTTATGTTTCACAATATTTTTTTATATTATTTTTTTTTTTTGTATCTTATGTGTCCTTCAAAGTTAAACATATTTTTAAAATAATGAACAAGCCATAAAACAATTATCAATGACATAATTCTCAATCGGCACAAATCTTCGATTAGATTGTGTGCCAGACCACAAGACCCCTATATAATAAATCTCATCAGACGATAAGATACGACAAGACAAACTAGAAGTCGCAATCCCCGGCTGTATATAAGAAGGTTCAGTTAGTTGGGCTTTGCCCAGTTGAAAAAATGACAACCGCTAACGTGGCTATTCTGCTCGGCAGCTGTCTGCTGCTTTTGGTCTTACCGGCACAGTCGGCACCCGGTAAGCTGAACGGCCGTGTGGTGGGTGGTGAGGATGCCACGAAGGCGCAGTTTCCCCACCAGGTTTCTCTGAGGAACGCTGGTTCCCACAGTTGCGGAGGATCCATCTTGACAAGGAATTACATTCTGACCGCCGCTCATTGTGTGTCCAACGAGGATGAGAACCATGTGATAACTCCTATTGCCGCCGAGCGTTTTACCATTCGAGCGGGCTCCAACGATCGATTCAGTGGCGGAGTCCTGATCCAGGTGGCCGAAGTGATTGTCCATGAGGGGTACGGTAACTTCCTTAATGATGTGGCTGTTCTGCGACTGGAAACCCCGTTGATCTTTTCGGACGCTATTAAGCCGATCGCCTTGCCCACTGCTGATACGCCAGCCGATGTGGATGTCATCATTTCCGGTTGGGGAAGGATCAAGCACCAGGGAGATTTGCCGCGGTATCTGCAGTACAACACCTTAAGTTCCATTTCCACCGAGAAGTGCGAGGAGTTGATTGGATTCGGATTCGAGGGCGAACTCTGCCTGCTCCATTTGGAGGATAATGGTGCCTGCAATGGTGATTCCGGTGGTCCCGCTGTGTACAATGACCAGTTGGTGGGCGTGGCAGGATTTGTCGTGGGCGGCTGTGGATCCAGCTATCCTGATGGCTATGCCAGGGTCTTCTATTTCAAGGACTGGATTATAAAGAACTCAGATCTCTGAGTTTGCTCGATATAATTTTTTTTTTTTTAATATTTGTAAACATAAATAAATTCATTATAACCAAAATTGTTTTATCACTACATTTTTTCTAAGATATTTAAAAATGATTTAAAATTATAAAAACCTATAATGATAAATGTGACGATTTATTAGCCAATAATTCTGTGGTACTATGGCATTCCATCGAATTTTGAAATAGATTGGGTTTTCCTTGGCTCTAAAAGATAAGCAAACATTTGAGGAAACACGTGTGTAACAGTTTTAATCAAGACTATAAATTAATATTAAAAAGTGATTACTTATGTGCTTTAAAATGTGATTTGTGATATGTGATATTTTACAATTTGTCATTTCGAACTAACACATATACACCTATTTATTTACAAGTGTTTCGAAAATTGTACCCCACCACAACGTGGACATTTTTGGCAGCATTTTGTCATTAAAGAGTTGGCCCTCCTTTTCTCCCTTCCCTTTTGTGTGTTACACATTTTTTGCATATTTGTCAGGCAATTTTACTCTAAATTTGCCAATTATGCGCATTTTTTGAGCGTGACCCGAATGGCCACCAAAACCCATCTGAAAAAAAATACATACCGATACGGATTTATACTCGTGTGTGTATGGGGAATATAGCCTTTTATCGCTGTGGCTACATTGTCTCCTGGCCATTGTTTTACGCGAGGGTAGCTAGAAAATATTAAATAGCATATAATTGTTATATTTTTTTTAACTTAAAAAAATTTAATTTATTCAAGGGATCTAAATTAATTTTAAAGAATACTTTACGGCGTAGAAGTATATAGTTGTAAACTTGAAATCAACAAACAAAACTGTTTTGCTTTTCATGTTTTTTTTTTTTGTATTCGTGCAGTTCCAAGAGTAAAGTAATTTTTAAGCAGAAAACGTATTTCTTTATTTAATTAACTCAAGCCCAACTCTTTTTCCCGCCCACGCTCATCTTTGGTGTCTCTTTTTGTCTCACTTATTGGCCATGTTGTTGCTGCGATCTCGCGCATTTTCAAACTTATATTGGCATAATTTATACTTTAGCAGCATTTTTATCGCTGCGCTCGGCACGAAATACCAAATACAAAATACAATAAACAATGGGCCGCTGCCCAGGAACAATGGCAACAACAACATGCCAGTTCAATGTTAGTCCTTCACAAAAAAAAAAAAAAGAGAACTCCGCCCTTAACCCCCTGCCTTAACCCTTTTTGCTGCACTTCTGTGCGCCGTACTTTGCGTCACTTTGCGCGCTTTATTTATTTACGATTTTTGCGTGAGCCCCGTTCGATTTTTGTTTTTTTATTTTATTTATTGATTTACAATTTATACATGCTCGGTCACACATGCACTCACAGTACGTATACGTAATATTTACCATCGAGTCTGTGTGTTGTCATCATCACAGTCATCATCGGCATCTTTATTTGGTTTCGGTTGCCAATCCCCTTGCCCTTCGGCTCGCCAGCTCTATGTCAATGCCATCAATCATTTGTAGCAGCATTTTTATTTAAATAATTAAAATAGAAAATAATCGTAAAATAAAAGGACCAAGTGTAATTCTTTTTTGACGCAGTCTCTGGTGAAGAAGATGACTGCAGCAGTTTGTGGAGGTGGCGATAAAATGTCGGAATTTCCGATGAACCTTGTCGCGTGTCGCTCTTCATAATTTCCCTCTTAAATTATCGCGAGTGAAGAGCCACAGCAAAGTGGGCGGGAAAATGCACAAGGGGAAATAAGGAGTGGGAAATGAAGAGGAAATATTTGAGTACATAAATATGTGGAAGGCAATGAAAGAGGCACTCGAATTATTACTAAAGAATGAATGTACAAATTGTTTTGTTAAGAAGTTCAACATCAATCTGATCTGAATATGCTTTGAAGGGGCAAAACAATTATCTCCAAAGTAGTAAGGCTTGAATGATAACAAAACCATTTTCAACTGAAGCTTGGACTCTTTTAAAGTGCGTCAGAAATGGATGTATTTTTTTTTTATTTTATACAGGCTCGTTAGTTTTTCCTGTGAAGTGAACAGGAAGTGACCATCAAATTGTTGGCCATCTATCAATCTATCTTTACACATATGAACTTTCAATATTGTTTCCCAAGTCAAGAGTTATTGAATTCCACAAAAATAAAACCATGTTGATAATTATTCTTCTGTTCTGTGCTGCAAATTGAACAAGCTCAAAACGGAAATAATAAACAAGAGTACTTCGATTTTGCACTCCCTTTTCCACCCGTTTGACAGACATTTTGCGATGTGTCATCATTCGGTATCGATGGAACGCAGGGTCTAAACTATATTGTTGGGCCACTAGTGCATACGCATTGGAATTTTAAATGAAAAAGGAGCATCGAGCTCAACTTTAAATACTGGGTGATGGGGGGCATAAGAATGCGTCCAAGTGTATCAACGATATAAACTTCTACGCCCACATAGACATATAACCCGACATATATTCTTGTTTGTGTACATATCTGTGCATATAGGTTTTTATTTAAATGAATTGCACGCAGTAGCAATTCCAAAAATTGATTTCGGCAGCCGAAAAGGTCTTGCAATAAAAAAACATTTATTTGCTATAATTTCAAAAGCAAGATGTAATTGAGATTATTTATTTGTTTATTTTATAGTTGTTTGAATCTAATGATGTAAATATATTTTAATTTCATTTAAAAGAAACATAGATAGTATGTTTACATGAAATATTGTAGAAATTCAAATAATTGGTTATTATGTTTTGGGTAAATTTATAATTGTTGAGTAGAAATAATGGAAATACCTCTTTGGAACGCACACATAAATAAGCCCACCTACACACACAGACACGTACACACGCACACACGCAAAAAGCGGGGGCGACAGACATGTGTAAGTACATACATCTGTGTATATTGGGAAGTGTCGTCGGTTGGTGCTACTTTTGCCGCAGGAAGCGGTCGCAGCTGTGGGTTTTAAAATTTCAATTCATTTCCGTTGTGCATACCGTATACGAATTCGTATATATGTGCACGTATACGCTACAACAGTCAGCCGACAATACAGACGCAGTAGGGCACACGCACTGGCAAAAAAAAAAAAAAAATGAAAAACAAAATGCGGCTAAATGGCAGACAGGACCAAAAACAACTCAACAACAACAACAACAACAACAACAGAAACAACAGAAACAGCAGAAACAACAAACAGCAGCCACAGCGGGTCCAGGTCCTTTCTGGTCTGGCCAGGGCAATTTATGTGCCGAAAAGGCCAAACAGAAACGAACCTGAGGCCTGTTACCGGGTATCCCTTCCCGAGTTCCCGACTTCCCGAGTTCCGAAACCCCAGAAAGCCATCGAACCACCTCCCCCTCCCCCGACAAACTCCCCCGAATGGCAGAATGGCAAACAGTAGGCACCATCGAGTATTCCGTTGTGATTCCTGCTCGGGTTCGTTCCGAATCTCAGCTTGTCTGTAATACCTCAAACCGGTATTTTGAGTTTTTAAAGGTTTTTTATTTGTGGCAAACGAAGATAAATGCGGTTGCTACTTGATCCCCTCGACAATTCATTGTCCAAAAACCTGTAGGTAAAATCTTTTACGTATCGTATTCCATTTTCTATGACAAAATGTCCGGCTATTAATTTATATATATATTTAACGGATAAAGGGTATTTCGTAGTCGTTTATTTGAACTGTCCTGCTCTGGCTTGTTTTATGTTTAAAATGTAAAATGCTTCAAGTCACAAAATTCAATAAATGCTCAGTGCCCAGTGCAGTGGCACTACTACCCTCCCTTCCTCCTTCAACCAACCCACCGAGTGGGCGTGGCACAATGGGGTAAATTGCATAAATGTATGACAAATGAATGCGTTGAATGCAGCACTAGCACAACGTTCGCTCAGGTGGCATATCATAGGTGCTATTGTGTGGCATTGACACACACACACACACACACACACACATACATCTATACATACCATATATGTTCACTTCGTTTTTTGAGCGGGAAAGGGTGGCGAAAGGGGGGTCAAAAGGGAGGTTAACGAGGCGGGTTCCTCGGCGGTGGGCACAATCGAAATTAAGCGATTGATGAGAGGCTAATGAGCGGGCACCGCAAAATGAAATGCAATGAAAAGTCCGCTCGATTGTGAAGAGGTGACAAAAGGAAAATGGGCAGTCCACATATCACTGCGCATTTTGTGTGATTTGGTCACTCTGAGGTTGGTTCAATGATTTTAGATTGCAAAAAGGGTAGCGATTGTGGTATAAATTGTGCAAATGACTACCAGTTGAATAGAAATGGTAACAGGTTAAATTTATGTATTTTATCTAAAATTTATTAAAAAAAATATTCACTATCCATAATGAAATGAAATTCTATTGGCCTTAGCTTTTCAATTTGCTTGATTGAGCATTATCCCAAATACAAACGGGATGATTGCTAAAGACAACAAACAGGTGCAACGACCAGATCACGTTGCAAATTCCCCAAAGCAACCAAACGTTGAACGTTCGCATCGATGTTGGTTATGAGTATCGCAAAAAGTAAACATATTTTTGGGGCTCCAACATTTGGCCACGCCTACCAAGAACCAACAATAATAACAATAACAACAACAACAACAACAACAACAACAACAACAACAACAACAACAACAAAAAATACCATACCCAGTGCAAGTACAACTACAACATGGGAGCAACAACTTTGACCGCAGCAATGTTTGGGTCCCATAATTTCCAGGATGTTGTTGTTTAGCCTACACTATCCAAAGAAATGTCAACTGCACTTGAAGGTATAAAGAAAACTTTAGTGATTATTAAGATTAAAATTTTCAAAATGGAAATCGGAGTGAATAGAAGCCTTAAACCAAATATTTGAAAATAATTGTGAGTTCCCCTTAAAAAAGGAAAAAGCATAAGATTTATAGTCGCTTTGAAGGGAAAGGTTCTAGAATTAAAGTGAAAACTAAAAATATTTAGTATGTCGTTGTTGTTGTTTTTTTTTTTTAATTAATAGCGACATCAGCAAAGTTTTAATAGACTTTGAAGACACTTTTTAGTAACTACAAAATTCTTGCTAAGCTCTTTATGTTTTTTAATATTATGCAGGGCATTCAGCAGTT